ACATTGTAAAGTATATGAGCGAGAGAGAGGAAGAGAGAGAGAGAGAGAGAGAGAGAGAGAGAGAGAGAGTTTGGGTTGTGGTTGTGTGAATTTAGTGTAAAGGGAATGCAGATGTTTTCAAATTTTAGAGTTTGGTTGGATTAAAACAGAATGGAGTGTAAAATTTGATGAATTTTTAATTCACTCTGCAATTTAACATGAGTGTTTTTAGAGTTTGTGTATTTAGGAAAATTCCAAATAGACTGCCAGTTGAAGCTCTTGTTACTGCTATCGACGGCTGCCTGCCTGCTAACTATTTCCCGTCATCTGCGGCCCACAGCTAGCTGCCACCGATCATGCTTTGATTTTATCTTGCTTCAAACCGATCACAAAATATAAATTCTTATGTTTATTTTAGACTGAATCAAACAATTCTAAATTATTTTAAATATATTACATTGCAATTTCATTATATTTTTCTTTCACTATTCATTTTTTAGCAAACCAATTCGCATCATCACAAGCTACTATCCATATTATCCTGCAAATTGAAGACTTTTTTGGTTGGAGCCAAGGCACCCAACTTATTGGTTAAAATGGGTTGTGCTCTTTAAAAGTCAACAAAATATACTACTTTTATTCTTGATAATATTAAATAATAAAAATTAATCTAAGTATTGAAATTCAGTCTAGATCCGATGCATGATCAATAAAATTTTATCATTTAGCGTGAATTGCGATGCATTTTTAAATAATAACTGTTTTTAAATTTTAAATTTAAGATCGTCGAGAGTTTGGTTTTAACTAGTTTATGGTCAAATTGACTGTCTCGATAGGACGAATCCAATGATGTTCAAGTTGGGTCAATTTGGGTCCAACCAAACTCAAATCTCAGATAAGTCATTGAAATACATTTGGAGGCTTTGAATTGTCAATCAAATATTCAAACAAACTCCAAATTTGAAATATTTTTAATTAAATTAAGCATCTTGACGAGAAGAATCTAATGAACCTATAATCACTCAATTTTAAGGTTCTTAGGGCACTCAAATAGTTAAAAATTTCTTATTGATCAAGGGGGATAAAAATGAATCTTACAATCAGACAATTGAGAAAAATATTTATCAAAAGACTAAAATGTCCCTCTCCATGGGTTATACAGAAAAAAATATTGCGTCTGGAGTCATGACACAAAGCTACGTCCGAATAACAGACATGATGCACCAGACAGAGCAGAGCAGGAAAAATAATGCCCACCGTGTATCACGTTTCTGCCCACAATATTTTTTTCTATAAATAGATCTCTCTTCACTTGGGGAAAAAAGAAGAGAAATTCCATAACCTATTCTGGAGAGAAGTCATGACGATAATCACTAGCCTCCGTAGCCATCGACTACCATTGTCCACCTCTTGTAGGCCGTCATTGACCATCATCCGTCAGTTGTCATCAACCACTGGTTGCAAGCGACCATGTTTGCAAACACTGTAGTCTAAATATGGTCTTTTGTGCCTAACACCTAAATTGAAAACTGGACAATAACCAATGGCCTCCATAGCTGTCAACAACGGTCGAACACTGCTCATGGGCCATCATCGGCCATTGCCGGCCTTCACTATGGGTCGTTGCAGACCACTCATCACCAATAACCCTTCAAATATGTTTTGTGTGCCTAACACCTGAATTAAAAACCTGATAATAATCACGGAACTCTGTAGCCACCTGCCCGCCTATTCCCCCCCACAATTATGAGAGAATTTTAAGTCAAGTGACCATGTCATAATGAAAAGCCAAAGAGCTAACGGCGGAACTCGGCTGGCAGAGGCTCGTCTCTCCAATGCAGTGACAAACGGCGGAACTCGGCTGGCAGAGGCTCGTCTCTCCAATGCAGTGACCCGGATTCGAGCCAGGCCATAAACGGCTTACCATTCCCATTAAAAAAACAAAAATGAAAGCCCCAGTGCCAGCAGAGACCCACAACTGAGAAATAGAACAGTCTTCAGCGACTTTCTGTATTATAAGAATTAGAAGAAGGACGCTCGGCTCTCCACCAAATGGTTGCATCGTCTGATCGTGTTGCATCAACAATTGCCACCATTTACAGGAACATTTATCTTACGCTGTGTAATCGACCAACTTGAAAATTTATCGCTTTTTACTAATTTGCAAATAAGCAAATTGCCCACCACTTAAGAAAAAGGTAAAAATGACTGAGAACTAAGTGTTTGACTTACTTCTCATTGAATGTACTTTGTTGTTTTTTTAATATTAATGTATAAGCGTAGAAGGTTTAAAAAAAAATAACCGTTCGATTGTGCCTCTTGTAATTTTCAACCAATATTCTCTACTCAGTAATACACCTATGCCTGCCAATAATTGAAGCTGCCATTTCACATGATATCAATAATGCAGCCTTTCTTGTTAAATTAATGGGCCAATTAATCCCATAGAAAAATATTATGTGTGGCGAATCAAACATCCGGATGATTATTCGGATGTGGCTACACCGTCGTATTGCACGACGTCCCATCTAGATCATTGTCCAGACGTGCAGTTGCTGCACATAATAATTTTTTACTACATACGACACTTGCACCAACACTATATATTTTTCTTGTCAGGATTGGTATCCCTCTTTGCAAGGTGGTCATAAAAATAGGTGAAATGCAAACCATTTTGATGCATAAATTTATGTTAATATCAACATTTTCATGCATAAGAATGTATTCGTAATCCTTTTTTTATAAAGAGATACTAATTTAAAATGTTAAATATATTATTTTGTGAAGAACAAAATTAATATTTTTAATATATCCATATTGCTATTTGTTCAAATTTTTTTTGACAAACATTAATTTAAAAATAAAACAAAATCTTAATGTGTTTGTCTAACTCCTTTCAATATTTTTACCTTATTTATAAGTCTAATAACTTTAAAAATTGTCAATCACCCAATTTTTATACCTAGTACCTGAACTTTCTCACATTTATATCACCAAAAATTTTTATATCACATATAAAAATCATTATTTTAACTTTTAAAAAATAGCATATACCCTCCCATGAATAAATAAGATGATATATATTTGAAAAAAATTGAATTTACAGTGTTGAATATGTAACATAAGAATTGAGTGGTATGTATGTAAATCTTAATATAAAAAATTATATAACAATATATTATTTTTCACCATTTATTGATTGAATGATTTTAGATATTTATTAAAGAGTATTTTATTAAAATTTTGAAGAGCAATTCACCATATAATAAACAACTTTTATGTAGTAACCTAAACATATTTATGAAGCAGTGCGAACAAATAAAATGAACAAAAAAAAAAAAATCCTTGTTTTAATGGAGAATCGAATTCGCGTTCGTCACCATCCAACTCCCTCGCGAGCACAGTGCGCAGCTCTGGTTCTGATCTCCGATCCTTTCTCCGGTAAATCTCGCCGGCCTGTATCTCTCCTATGTTATGGCCTTTACAGGAATGGAAATCGGAAGCAGAGACCGCGGTGGACAGTCCGACTTTTGCCCTGGCAATGAAGAGATAGTGCGGGGGGAAATTCTTCAAACCGATTTTGGAGAGCTGCATTATGATGCTCTGATTCATTTTCAGAACGGAGGATTAACAACGCTCGAGGTCATCAGAGAGGTGATGGAGTCGGGTGTATTTCCGGTGAGGATCGCCAATGTCGTTGGTAGGCGTTTCGGAACCTGTTATGCAACCGCTTTATTTTGTTTTCGCTATCTTAGATATAATTTGAGCTGCGATTTAATTGCTGTTATTCATGTTCTGGTTTGGGTTGTAATGAAGCGTTATAGTTGTTATACCTCTTTCAATGATACTAGCTAACTGGTAACAAGGATGTGATCAGATTTTCTATATGCAATATAATACATACATACAACTATGAACAGTACTATGTATGCATTTAACATATGTATCCGTCATTGTTTGTCTGGACTGTGGAGATTTACTAGAAGCTTAGAAGCTCGTGGATGCCCTGCTTTTTATCCAAGTCCTTACCCTAGATCTCTCCCCACATTCATCAAATTTGAGTTGTCATTGGTTCATCCGAAAATCACTTCTTGTACTAGCGGAGGTTAAGTTTTAAATCTTTTTTTCATAAATTATAAGTTGGTCGGATGAGGTTAATTACAAGCCATGAGGTATTGTGTTCATACCGAGAAGATTCCGGTTGTCGCCCATTCAGATTGTACAATCTGGATGGCTTTCTTAGTGATGAACTTCATTTATGGAAACATAGCTTACAGCTAGTAGAAGATCAGAGGCAATGATATACAATCTCAGCTTACGAGTATTATATTGGCATTTAGTATATATAGGCAGAGTTAGTTATATAAGGGAATCTGCCAGCCTGGTGGAGAGTGAGGGGATCAGATATTCAATTATGTAGGTGTTGTATAGGTGCTGAAATAACGATTTGGGGATCACAAAAACTATATGAAGAAGGTTGTTATGGCCCTTCGAACTTAGTATTCCTCGGTCTGATGGTAAGTTTGTCTCTGAGTTTTAGGAATGTAATCGTAGGCAAGGCTTTTGTAAGAATGTATGCTATTTGATCCTGTGTAGTGATATGCTGTCTGTTATAATTTTCATTCCAATTTGATCCCTAACAAAATGATGGTCTACTTCTATGTGTTTATTACATGCGTGAAGGATGGGATTGTTTGCTAAGGCAATTGCGGAGGTGTTATCACAGTGAATTGTGGTTGGTGACATACCAAAGA